TATGATTACAACTTGAACTGAAAGTATTTTTGTAATGACTACAGGTATCAGGAAACTGTGAAGTAGAGAGACTGGAAGCATGGCTACAATCTGGTATAACAGTGTGTCTTTTGGCTTTTTGTAGTCCATCAAATGCATATAGGCCATTCTTAAGCTTGCCTTGGAGAAGTATATCCTTGGTAGCCTGAGATTTCACATAACAAGAGTTAGCTTGAAACTCGAAAATGACATCACGTTCTTTGGTAAACTGAGATACACTTAATAGATTTTTTGACAAACCAGGAACATGCATTAAATTTGATATAGAAAAGGATAAAGGACTGATAGTTGAATGTAAAATTGAATGTCCTATATTTCTGATTTTCAAGTTAGATCCATTACCTACTTGAACAACATCTTGACCATTGTACTTTGACTTGTTTAGTAGGTTGTTTGCATCTGGTGTGAAGTGGTTTGTTGCACCAGAATCTGGATACCAACATAAATCAGTGACAGAGAAGTAATCAGAGGGAATATCATCTTCTTGATGATGAGTGCCAATGTTGTTATTTGCAACTGCTATATTGGCTTGAAGACTGGAACCAACATTGTTGTTTTGACTAAAAGGACTTTGAAAGTTTTGATTGAACCTGTTGTGACACTCCCAGCCAAGGTGACCGTATTTTCCACACACTTGACATTGAGGTCTGTTTGTATTACTGTTTCTGTTACCTCCTCTTTGATATCTGAATCCTCCTCTATTTCCAAAATTCCTCCCTCTGTTTTGATTAAAGCTTCCTTTATTGTTTTGGTTGAAACCTCCTCTGTAGTTTCCAGAGTAGTTGTTTTGACTAAATCCTCCTCTTTTGAACTGTAGATGTGCTACATTTGCTTGTACAGTTTCTTTGATGTTCTTCTTGTGCTTTTCCAGTCTTTGTTCTTGAGCCATGAGCAGTGCTTCAATTTCACCTACAGTGTAGGGGTCAGTTCTTGAAATTACAGAAGTTATAAATGAGTCATAGTCCTCATTTAGGCCATCTAAAATGGCATCAATGTGATCTTCTGTATTGATTGGTGAACCAATAACAGCAAGAGAATCAACAATCTTCTTAATCATGAGTAAGTACTTTAAAACATCTCCTTCTTTCTTTGTATTTTTCAACTGAATCTTTAATTGCTTAACTTTTGCTCTAGTCTGAGAAGAAAAGAATTCCTCAAGTTTGTGCCAAACTTGGAAAGAACTTACACATCCTACCATGCGAGTATAAAGTACATGGAAGAAAGTAGCCAAGATAAAAGGAGTTGATCTTGCTGTGTATCAAGATCTGGAGGATTTGAGTTTTGAACTTCATTACCAGTTGTATTCTCAGCAACTTGATTGTTGTCAGTGCTTTGCTGTTGAACAGGTACAGATTCTTGCAATTCTTTATCAATGAATCTTGTCAAATTGTGACCTTTGATTGTAGCTAGTGCCTGTTGTTTCCAAGGCAGGAAGTTATTTTCATCCAGTTTGAAGGACACTGGATTAGAGAAAGTATGGACAGAGTTTTACTGCAAGCGATTGGTGGTCTCCATGGATCAGATTAAGCTCTGATACCATGAAAGGTGTCAGACTCAAAGAGAAAGAAGATAAAGAACAAGAGAAGAGAGAGAGAGAAGGAGCTAGCTCTGAACTACTTGCATTTGATTAAAATGATAAAATGAATACACTGTACATGTACGAATGAGCTTGGCCCTTATATATACACAGTTGCTGTAACTAATACTGAGAATAACTAATTAACAAATTCTGTTAGATCACAACAGAATCTGATGGGCTTAGATTCAGTTGGGCCTTAGCCTTATGGCTTTCAATATGAATTTTACCAAAATACTCTTAATTAATTCTCCTAAAATTACAGAAATACCTTTCATTAAATTAAAACGACGTAGTTTTGGAGTCACTGAAGATAACTTATCTCTAGTGATTAGAGAAATAATTTACCCTTAATTTATATGTTATAAAGGAAATTAATGTTGATATGACAATTTTGGGTTTATATGTTTAGTATAATATTTAAAATATATAAAATTATAAAAATAATTTATATTTAATATTCCCACATTTTCATTCTCAATTAATTTGACAAATGCATGTCGGGAAATATTTTTTATTTTGAAGAAATAATCACTCTTTTTTTAAAAGTTGTACAAAAAAAAAAGTTTTGTTAATTTTAAAATAAGCCAATATAAACATACATAAGGTAGCATAAGAAATGAGAATAATTTTTCCTATAAATAGTTAATTTTGTTATCGATTCATCAATTATCACTAAGCCGATTTGAGTCAAGTAAAATCTCTCTATATCAAATATTTAAATAGTTGTGTTATTGTGTACCCAAGATTGAAACTCTAAATCACTAATTAAACTGAAATTATTCCTGTGAGTTGATCTACATATTTGGTGGTTATTATTTATTATTCAATATTAAGAAATTACCATTTAAAACTTTTCAATTTCACATATCTAATATAACTTTTTTTTTTGGTAAATTATATAAGTTTGTTTTTAACTGTTAATTACTTATTATAACAAATAATAATTCTACCAAAAACAATATTTTATTTTATAATTAAAAATTAAATGTTTAAAATTCTAATTATCTTGGCGTATGAATCAAAATGGTAGCTACCAGTCATATAAGAATAACAATCCCCAAATTCTTTTTAAGTAGTATATATAAAATTCTAACAAATATTATCAAATTCTCAAACGAAATTAAAATCTTATAACATAATAAGTGTTTTGTGCAAATATATAAAGGATTAATGTTTCTCTTATAAGATATAATTATATATATATATATAGTGAAAAATGTTTTTGCAGTTACAGCAGATAAGTTATCTGCATTTATTTTCAAAACGACGTCGTTTTGATATTGAAATCTTAAAAAATTATAAATATAAAGACTATTATAATCCTGAAATAAATTAAAATTACAAAAAACTATGATTTCTGCCCCAAAACGACGTCGTATTGGGCTTACTGCAGATAACTTATCTGCAGTAACTGAAGAAAAAGCAAATCCACACTATATATATATATATATATATATAAATATATATAAGCATGTGAAATCCATTTTCTTTTTTCTCTTTATATATAGGTCTCACACATATTTATGTATATATAGGAGCTTTTTGACCTTTATAATCCTTTATTAATAATTAATTATCAAATTGACCTTTATTATAAACTATTTCAAAAATTTAACCCCTTTAAAAAACATAACACCAATCTGCCCTTGTTTGATCGTTGACCACCAAGCCTACCCGGGTACACCCCTCCCTACCCGGGTATTTTTTGAAATTTTTTGTCTACCCGGGTAAGGAGGGGTGTACCCGAGTATTGTTCTTGTCACCTGGGAAATTACTTGAATTATTTACTCGGATAGGGAGGGGTGTACCCGGGTAAAACCATTCTTCTGGACACAGTTAATGGATACACCTTTAGAACAACTTATACTTACAATTTTTTTGTGTAAGTCAAATTTCCCAGGATAGGAGGGATTGGTCCAGTTAAGATGTTACAACTCAAGTCTCTGGATTGATCAAATTTCATAAAGTATGTTTCAGAAACTATCTAAAATGCTTACAAGACAGCAAGTGCTTGCATGAAAGGATCGCTGATGGAATATTTCCAGAGAGTTTATTGCCTTGCAATGACCTACCAAATTCAAACAAATCTATCAAGAATTTCCAAGGGAAAGGAAGTGGAAAACCAAAAACTACTCGATAAAAAAATAACTTAAAAAAGGATTACGCAACACATACAAGGTTGCTACTTGCATAAATCCAATGTTGAATGGTATCTCTCCAGTTAACTGGTTGTAGGATAAATTAATCCCTGGCATCAATAGAAGACGTTAAAAAGGTAAAAAGAAAATAAGACAAGAGAAGGCAAAGTCTGTCATATAGTTGGATTACATACAAGACCTGGAAGGCAGTACTGTTGCCTATGTTTTCAGGAATAATTCCTGTTAGGCTATTGTTTCTCACATCACTACAAAATACAAGGAGGAAAATAATCAGAATCTCATAGGCTATCCATTTACCCGGGTACATCCCTCCCTACCCGGGTAAATAATTCAAGCAATTTCTTAGATCTCAAGAACTATACCCGGGTACACTCTTCCCTACCCGGGTATGCATAAAATTTCAAAAAATACCCGGGTAGGGAGGGGTGTACCCGGGTAGACTTCGTGGTCAACGGTCAAACAGGGGCAGATTAGTGTTATGTTTTTTGGGAAGGTTAAATTTTTGAAATAGTTTATAATGAAGGTCAATTTGATAATTAATTATTAATAAAGGGTTATAAAAGTCAAAAAGCCATATATAGGAGATAAAATTATATTCTATAACCAATGACGGATCCAGAATTTTTATGAGAGGGAGGCAAAAATTAATATCAAAGTAACAAATATAATTAAGACTAATAGATCAAAGGACTAATTATTACAGATATTTTTTCAGGGAAAGACTAACTATTAAGATTTATAATCTATTATTATTATAAAAATATTATTTTATATATAATACTAAAATTTATCAAAATTCAGAGAGGGAGGGGAGGACAGACAATTCACAAGTCATACCCCTCACCTGTGTCCGCCCTCAATCTACAATATAAAAAATGTTACTCTCATATAATAATTTGTGAGTAAAGTATTTTTTTAGTCAACAGAGATACGTTATTTTCAATGAGTATAAAATAATATTAATTAAAATATTTTTATAATTTTAATTTATTACAGAATTATATTAATCTTGATCATTATAATTTTTTAATTTTTTAACTTAAAATGATGTTATTTTGAGTTGGGCGGAAATAATTTTATACTTTTACCATCATTTATACGAAATAAGTTTTTGTTTTTGTTTTTGTTTTTGTTTTTTTCTTTCAGAAAAGGTAATAATTTTCTTTTTTTTTTGAAAGATGAGAAAAGGGTAATTTTAGGTACCCGGTACGTAACATGAAAACGAAGGGTATAGCCGTATAGCTTCAGCCTTTCAACAATCACTGAAAGATAATCCGAAATCGTTTTTGAATTCACTGTAAAGGAGTTTCGCCTCAACACTCCATTCTTGTTCTACTCTCTGCATAGCTTGCTTGCATCTTCATCTAACAAATAACAATGGCACATACTTCCCTTTTCACTCCCACTTCCTCTCTTAGATTCAACTCCTTTCTTCTTTCCTCCACCCCCACTTCTTCTCACTCTCACAACCTTTCTTTTCCCTCTCAGTTTATCCTCTCCAGGTATTATTATTATTATAATTAATTTGTATTATTTTCGTTCATAACACCCCATGAACTGAAGCGTTTCTTTTCACTGAATTTGTGTTTGTTGCAAAGTTTACATTTTGATTACTTATCTGCAAGTTCGAGGCTTTTCAATTTGTGGGTTTTGGATTTTATTATTTGTTATAGAGAAATCAGGTCACCAGATTCATAGAAAATTGCCCTAATTTTTTCTGCTAGTGGGTAATGGTGAAAATATATATTAATAAAATTGTCATGATGAATTTAAAGCTGCTTATTTTTAAGATCAATGATTAATATAGGGCCTGCTGTGAAGGTTCAGTAAAATTTTACTAGTTGAAGCTCGAATTGTTATGGAAACTGGGCATGAAGGAAACTAGAATATTCTCCTCGATATTTATTTCTATCAAGGGGATGATGCCTTGCTGTGGGTTTGCAGGAAATTAAGGAAGTCTGTAGAAGATAGAAAAAGTACTCAAAAATCTCATGTGAAGGCTGTGTATGGTGATCAATTTTGGACCCCTGAGGGGAGTTCACGCGGTGAGGGTATTTGGTCCATAAGGTAGATTTTATTCTGTTGTTTGCTTTTTGATATCTTTTAAATTAGTCTTATTTATTGACTTGGATTAAGTGTGTTCTTGAAGGAATGATTTGCAAGTCCCATCTTCCCCTTATTTCCCTGCCTATGCACAAGGACAAGGGCCACCCCCCATGGTGCAGGAGCGTTTCCAGAGTGTTATAAGTCAGCTTTTCCAATATGTAGGGGCATTTTGGCTCTTGTTGTTACTTAAGGCTGAGCATTCAGCTTCTTTTTAGTCTTTCAAATATTGATTATGTCATTTTTGTGTTTTATTATTTAGAGAATAATCCGTTGTGGTGGAGCAGTTGATGATGATATGGCAAATGTCATAGTTGCCCAGCTCCTTTACCTCGATGCTGTTGATCCTAACAAGGTTTGTTGTCAATTTTCAGTTATTGAAAACTCATGGTTTATCTTCTTTTATCTTTATCTATGTATAGTGATCCTTTGCATTTCTGACATATGACACCAAATTCTTATATTTTGGTATTTCTTCATTTTGATGTGATCATTATCTTGAGTTTGTCTTTGATCTTTTTTACTATGTGTTGACCTCAAAATTTTGTTGTGCAAGCACCTAGTAAACTGCCAATTTTCTGATTGTGTTAAACAGGACATTGTCATGTATGTAAATTCTCCGGGAGGATCGGTTACTGCTGGTAATAATTTTTTTGTGTAATTCTATCTTGAATCGTTTAATTATATTCAATCTACACATGAACTCAAAAGATATCATTATATTCAAATATGTACATGCTTTCTTTGTTATTTTTTCCTAGGTATGGCAATATTTGATACAATGAGGCATATCCGACCTGATGTGTCCACTGTTTGTGTTGGATTAGCGGCTAGGTAACGTTTCATTCTTCCTCTGGGTTACCTTATTGCTGACAAGTAACCATCAGTGAAAGGTTAAAAGTTTTATCCTAACTTCGTCTTGATGTATGCCAGCAGAATTTGTTCACTTATTTATTTTTGCTGAATGCTAGGAGAATTAAGATAATTAATTATTAATTATCTCAAGACCCTCCCTTCCACACTGTACTTTATCTTTTTTTAAAAATAAAAAAAAAACTAATTGAACATTTTTTTTTATTACTATGTTTTTAAATGTGTTTCTTTATTTTAGGGTGGTTGACCCCTTACCCCTATCTGATCATTTTGTATTTTTCCTATCACTAGTAGATCTATCCTGGTAGGCCAGTTAAAAAAATAAAAATAGATCGATCCTGCTCATTTCATCTTTGGTTGAGCACAGCCTTGTATCTATGAATGATACATGTTATATGGGTTCCCACTATCCTAAGGAATAGCCAAATGCAAATCTTGAGAACAAATAGGTTCCAGGTGCATTTAAAGTCCGCTGCATTTCATTTTAGAAAATCTACTCAATTGGTAGTTGTCCTTGTGGGACTATGGCCTTTTTCCGGTAAAATATTGTTCCCCTAATATCATTGCAGAGAAATTGGATTGGCAGGACTGTTGACAATAATAATAACTAAGAACTTTTGAACTAAAAGCCCAAGAGCATCTTAGGCCTATGCCTTTGAATCTAAATAGAAGTTATGAGAGACCCACCATTTTGTGTTAGAAAGCATTATATTTCGAAATTCAAATATATGTCATACCTTATGGTTTTGTGCTTTGGATTTGAGGTCCGCCTTTCTCCTAGTTCTTCTCAAGACATAGTATGTATTTTAAGAGATACCATTGATATAAATTTGAGACAAAAGTTGCATGTGTGACCTCCACTGATGATATGGGCATGGAATAGTTCCAAGAATTGAAATTCTCCATAATATTGATAATTCGACGCTGAAAAGTGATTGATAGTTGATTGTATGCTTGTTACTTTTATTTTATTTTTAAAGAAAATTTATTTCCCGTTCACTTATATAGACCTTTTTCATGAGCAGTATGGGAGCTTTTCTGCTAAGTGCAGGGACCAAAGGTAATGATTCCTTTAACTTGCAATCACTGTATCCATTTCACCTTTTTTTGGTGAATGTCATTTCCACTTCTCCCAAAAATAAAAGTGCTTCTTTCTAACTTTATATCCCCTTCTCGCTCACTTGTTAAGGAAAGAGATACAGCTTGCCAAATTCAAGGATAATGATTCATCAACCGCTTGGTGGAGCTCAAGGAGGGCAAACTGATATAGATATTCAGGTTTATGCTCCATTTTCCTTGTTTTCATTTTTTAATGGATAAACTTCTTTTTTACTTCTACAAATTTATATGCTTTTGTCATAGAAAATTGAAGCCTATCTTGGGTTAGCACTCAAAGTTCGATGAATTAATTTAAACCATGATGACTACCCAAATTATAGTAAACTCCCTAGTAACCTAAATTTACTAATAAAGACACCCTTAGGGAGTGTTTGGTAGAGGAGAAAATTTTTTTTATTAGAGAAATGTAATTGCTAGGGAAATGGTGAGAAATGAAGTTTGGTAGGAAAATTAAAAAAAAGTTGTTTGGTTGGTCAAAATTTTACCGGAGAAATTAGGTAGAATTTTATAAGTCTATGTTTGGTTGAAGGTAAAATATAGATGGAAAAATATGGTTAAATTACAACAACAACCCTTGACTAAAATAAAATAGGAAAATATGGTTTTAGTTTGTTGTAGATTTCTCAAACATCAGGGTCATTTTGGTCTTCTTGCTTGCAATCCTTTTTGGATTTCCCCATCTATCACCAAATACCACCTTGTAGGTGGTATTATTCAACAGTGTTTTTTCACACAAAAAGCAAATACTAGGCAAATGAGTTCCCTAGCAAAATTTTTTAAAACATGATGCCAAACATGGACATCCAAAAATACCACTTCTATTTGCCTATCTATCCTTCACAAAATCTTCTACCAAACACACCCTTAGTAAATTCATTATCCATAAAATATATTGTTCCCTACTCCTAATTTTCCTATAACTCATTTCCTACACCCTGCTAGTTTTATTCCATTCCCTATTAGTACATGTTTTCCTTTGGTCGGTATTTGGTTGGATCTGGTTGGATCGGACTGGATCAGCTAGTTTCAATTAGTTTTGATTCTGAACACCGAAACAATACGTGTGATACCTTCTCTGACTTCAGCGAGGGAGACATGATGGTTCATAAATGCGTGATTCTCTTCTATGTAACTCTTGTCAGGGAAAACTAATTATAATTCATAATCCGCAGGCAAATGAAATGCTGCATCATAAGGCAAACCTGAATGGATATCTCTCCTATCACACTGGCCAAAGTTTAGAGAAGATTAATCAGGATACAGACCGTGATTTTTTCATGAGTGCAAAAGAAGCCAAAGAATATGGACTCATAGATGGTGTCATTATGAATCCTCTCAAAGCTCTCCAGCCACTAGCGGCTGCAGCCGAGGGTAAAGATCGGGCTAGCATTTGAACTCGAGAGACTGTTGCACTTGAATTTTTCTAGGTATAAAAAACATAGTGTCAAACAAGAAGGATGTTTTTTTGTCGCTGAGTCCTACTGAATCTTCTTACTGAAGTTGATATCTGTGTGACCGTGTACCCAAAAATGAGGTAGATACTTGTTATATATTGCAGTAGATTTAATACTGACAGAAGCTTCCTTAATGGATCCTGGATGTGCTTTTTCCTTCAAGCATTCTATTGTGATGAACTGATATGTTGGATAAATAGCAGTAACCTTTTCCTGATTTTAACCACCAAACAAAAAACTTTACATCCTCAGCTCTTTTTCTCAGTCTTCATCATTTCACTTACTCGAACGCTTTTTCAGGCACCTGTCGTATGTGCGCCTCCAATTCCAAAAAAAAATGATATTTGGATTAATTTTTTTTTCCCTCCATACTTCGTACAATTTGTATTTTCTCTCTTTGATTTTGATTGGTCCGTTGTATCAAGTCAATGGTGTGACAAAAAAAGTATCTTAAAAATTTCGCGTTAACTCCCAAGTGACTCAGCATATTATTGAAAGATATAATCGATCCGTGCATGGATGTGTTCTTGGGATTTGGAGCTTCTCACGGAATGGAGAGAACCTTGATGACTTGCCTGATTGTGCCATGGGGCAATTGTATAGGAATCCCTCCCCTGTACAGCTAATCATATTATTTTGAGAAATAGTTTTACATATGGGACATATTATTTTTATATTGCTATAAGAATAAAAAGTCTTATTTTTAACTTTGATCGTTAATCTGCTTATATTTAACAACTCAAATCAAAGCCATAAGATATAAATAATTAAAATTGAGATCGTAATTTACATTGATATAAAATGATTGGAAATTTCACATACACATTAATTGAATATTTTTTTTCTTCATACTTTTATAGTGTTGAGAAGTTACATATAAGCTGGCTTGTGTGCTTGGTTGGGAGCCCATTCAACTGAATCTCTCTTAGAAAAGCTGTGTCTAGCACAGGAAGAAATGAGATTCTTCAGTTTAGTGAGCTGCGCTCGTAACCAAATGGTTGTAATTCAGTTGGTAACAAAAGATTTGAGTAAGTGGAAAGAAAAGAATTTTGGTTTGATCTCCACATGTCTCCTTTTGAAGGGATTTAAATATCTTCATCATTGACCCGCTCCGCACAGTGGCAGACCGAGAAAAAAAAATTTATGTCCGCACATTTAGTGGCGCGGTTGCCCCCGAATTTTCTTTTTTTTGTAAAGAAAATTTAAATCAACGGTTAAACTCGCTCATAATCTAGTTGCTTCCATAACAAGCTGCAGACAATAGTTTGACCAATTATTTTTCCCCCTTAAATCTTACTAATCTTCCAAAACAAATATGAGAATATACTCCAGTACATCCATACATCATCATTCTATTTTATAGTGATGAATAAAAAAGTCAACATTACATGTACAGAAGGCAAGCAAAATCACAGTGAAGGCCTTGTCTCTAGATATTAACTTATTTGAGAATGTTAGACCTGCAATCAATCCTCTCTTTTTATAAAAATGAAAAAGAAAACAAAGGATGAAGAGAGCATGAGAATGAGTACGTGATATGGGAGGAAGAATAAGTTTTCTCTCTAATCAATTTGCGTTGCTACGTTGCTCACTAATATAAGAATAAATATCTTTTTTGCTCCCTAACAAAAAATTCGATACCCACTTTAGTCCATTATAAAAAAAAATTAGTCACCTGGTCCCTATGAAATTCAAAGTGGACCTATTTTGGTCTTTTTGAGGGACTAATGTAGGTCTTTTTTAAATTGTGAGGAACCACAATTTAACTAAATTGATCCACTTTGAATTTTTTAGGAACCTCGAGACTAATTTTTTTTTTGTAAGGGACTAAAATGGGGACCATATTTTTTGCTAGAGACTTAAAAATGTATTTACTTCTAATATATATATTGAACCAAGAGACAAATAAGAAACTGCAACCAAGAAAAAAAATTGAAATACAATTTTTTATGACCGCACTTGTGGACATTTGCCCGCAAGTGGGTCCGCCACTGGCCCCGCACTCCCAATTAGTCTCATAGCCGGCTCAAAGATTAGAAGCTTGTGGGGATACCGGAGGAGCCAATTCGTCTTAAAGAGATAATTAGGGTTGAGTTAACTAAAAAAACAGCCATTGAGGAGCAAGCAACAACTTGTGATGCACATACAGTTGACCCATTGCACATGATCTAACCATTGATTCAAGAAGTCCAGAGTCAATAGGGATTGTGGCCCAATTTGTCAAAAGAAGCCGTTTTTTGAAATATAACAAATTACGGTCAAATTCAAATCCAAATAAAGCAATAAATATGATTGTGATTTGTTTGGTAAGGAAAGAAAAGCAACACATTTAGAATGATTTGAGATCCAAAATTTAGGAAGTGTTTTGAATGATTTAATTTGTAACTATTTCTTTAATTTTAGAAATTAATTACCTTAATATTCATTTTAAGAATTTTTCTTATTTTTAGGATTTTAAATTTTGGATCAATTTATAATTAGTCTACAAAAGAGTGCTTATGACCCTTATCATAAGAATTGAATTTTGTTATTTTATTAATTGAAATTGACAACTGAATGATTATTCTTTTATAAAATTCTAACTTCAGCCACTCTTCTATGCACTTTCCACATTAGCTCGAAAATTGAAATGATTTCCCAAAATAAATAAAGGGAAATCATTTTCTCATGTTGTTGGAGATTACTTTCTCATGTTGTGAAGTATTGAAATTCGTGCTATTTTCTTTTTATTTTTTATTTTTTTAACAAGTGGTGGACCTACCACTTGTTGTTTCTATAGTATGAAAAATATTATCTTATGTGAAATGAGAAAAGAGAAGCCCATAAATAAATGAAGAAAGAATAAAGAATCAATATGCTCTCAGGGGCAACTAGGACTTTCGACCTTTTTTTCTTCGTCTAGATCTGAATTAATCAGCGGTAGTTAAGACTTAATAATAGTCAGTATTGCTGGCAGTCACTCTCCTTCGTCAAGTGTCATCGGTTACAATTGTATCCACCTAACATGACGTAAGTGTAATTTTCTCTTAACTAGCCTTAAGTATTAAAAATAATATTTATCATTATTTAATTGATTACACCCTTTTGGTCTAGCTATAATCGTTAATTACTCTCAATGTTAATTTTTAAATTTTTTTATTAAACTTTACACTTTATTTATTTCTTAATTTTATTATTATATTTAAGGCCTTTTCATGATTTATTGTAAAATTCAGATGAAATTTTAAGTTATATTTCTTAAACGTATGATGGATAATAATTCATGTATATTCTCTTTTTTCGCAAAAGCATAGTTTTATTTTATTTCTTACTGAAATATATCACTATTTTATTTTGAAATGATTATAGATGTATGTAGAATATTTATATAATAGACTTATGCTACTTATTTGATGTCAGACTACAGTAAATATTTTATAATAAATTTCCTAATTCTAATATAGATAATGCTCACCTTTGACCAAAGTACCAAACCAAGCAGTTAAATTAGTTGAAATGCCATTAAACAGACCCAAATATCATATCCTTTTCCTTCTATTAGGTTTACATTGACGAAATGATACATATGTGCTACTGTGGTAGTTCAAGATGCAAAAATCAAATTAATGGAAGCTTCACAACCTTTTATAAAGATCAAATTAGGAACTATTCAATTAAGTAACTGCTTACACACAGACATATAAATAAAAAAATAGGTTATATTTATAAATTTTTTATTTATAAACTCTTACAAATTCAATTATGTATTTTAGAGGATACAAATACTTAAGTGTGTATTTCTCGAAGTACATAATAAGAGTCCGTAAATAAAAAATTTGTAAATATATATAAACTTTGGGTTTAGTGTTTGTCATTTTAAATGACATAAGTTATGTCATTTTAGGAGAGAGATAGACACAAAAAAATAAAAATCATGGGAGAGAGAAAATGGATGATTTTTTTTAATTTAAATTTTAAATAAAAAAATTATTTTGTGTCAAAAAAATAAAAATCATGGGAGAGAGAAAATGGATGATTTTTTTTAATTTAAATTTTAAATAAAAAAATTATTTTGTGTCTATCTCTCTCTTAAAATGACATAACTTTATGTCATTTAAAATAACAAATACTTTTTCCATAAATTTTTTATTTATAAACTCTTATAAATTCAACCATGTACTCCAGAGAATACAAATATTTAAGTGTGTATTTTCCGAAGTACATAATAAGAATATGTGAATAATATATATATATATATATATATATATATATATATATATATATATGAGCACTAAGATTTTAACATTTGACCTTATATAAACTACAAAAACCCTTAAAAATTAGGGAAATATGTTCATAGGGTTCGCTTTTTCTATAGTCAATGTAGATAACTTTTCTACATTGAGCCTAAAACGATGTTGTTTTGAGGCGGAAATCAAAGTATTTTTATAATTATAATTTATTTCAGGGTTATAATTGTCTTTTTCATTATAATTTTTTAATTTTTCAAATCAAAACGATGTCGTTTTGAGAGCGAATGTAGATAACTTATCTACATTCACTTTATAAACATTAAATATATTGCATGAGATAATTTATCTTATGTAACACACAAAAATTGAGAAAAATCTATTAAAAAAAAGATAAAGAAAGAAAATGGGTTTCATCCATTTTTGAAATCATAGACGTGTGAGATGGTCAATTTATTTGGCAGTTTTCCTTTTATAAATTCAATATCGACAAAATCAGTTAATCAATCGATTTCTAAATATACAACCTGAAAATATTATTTTAAAGTATCGGGTACGGTCTCCCTTTACAAAAACATTAAATGGAATCAAACCAAATCAAATTGGTCTCACCACTATTATTTTGCTTCGTCTTCATAGTGTTTTTAGTTTGATTTAATTCAAAATATGTATAATAAACTATAGGGAAAAAAGTTTTCGATGTTACTTTAGATAACTTTATCTAATGTTCATCGAAACGACGTCGTTTTGAGATTGAAAAATTAAAAAATTAGAGTGATAAAGACTATTATAACCCTGAAATAAATTAAAATTATAAAAATACCATGATTTTCGTCCCAAAACGACGTTGTTTTGATGTACATTAGATAAAGTTATCTAAAGTAACATCAGAAAAAACAAACCCTAAACTATATACATATGATTTTATTATATTAAACCTTTTTGCATTTGGTAAATAAGAAAATGAAATTAATTTTACCTCAGCCAAAATGTATTGCACTCTTCATTTAATTTCTTCCTCCTATTCCTTTTGTAACAAACGGGCTAAATTGTAAGTGTAGATCCCTACTTCCAACTAAACAACTAAAAAACTAAACGGATACAGTTCTGAAGCCTATCAGAGTATGCTACATCAACAGCAATTTTATCTAATTCAAGCCAAAAGAAAAAGAATTTGATTGGTTCATAATTGATGTCTATGTGGTAACATCCATTATTTCATATATAAAATCAAGACAACGACACCACATTATATTAACTCCTATTAATTAAGACAACATTTATATTTGTAGCACGGAGATATAATTAAAAAGGATATTTATGAGTCTTATTTGCAGGGTTGCTCCATTATATTACATCATAAATTCTTATCTAGAAAAATGAATTTATTTATATGCATCATTAACGAAGATTACGGAACCTCATCGGTCAAATTTGCAGCCAAACAGTCCAATTATTCAAACTACCAAACCAATAAGCCGTTAAAGATAAACTTGAGATTGAATTTGATATAATTCATGTATATATATATATATATATATATATATATATATATATATATATATATATAAAAAATAAAAGTGTGTGAGTTTGTATTTATATTTAAGTGGTCTAAATATCTAAAAAGATCGAAGACCATGTCATGTAAATTGTCAACTAACTAAGAAAACGATGGACGTGGCAACCACTTTTAAATTTCATTTCCCAGACAATAGTTGTGAAGTCACAAACATACATAGAGAGACCTAAACGTTGAACTTCCCTTGGCTTGTAAATAAAAGAGGGTGGTGTTGGTTCGAGTACTCATGATTGCTTCTAAACAAATGGGGTGGCAGAAAAAAGCAAAAGAGTTCTTCAACTGTGGTGTTCCCACCCATAAAGGGGTCTTCTACCTCCTCACCATAACAGTTCTCAACCTTCTCCTCCCTCTCTCTTTCTTGCTCTTGGCAACTCTCTCTCGTGCTCAATACTATCTTCAAACCCTCACTTGGTACCATTCACCACAACCCTTTCTCTATTTTTTATCCCTTGTCTTGTATATCAACCCATCTATTCTCTACATTCTTGTTTCCATTGTAAGCGTAGCTACCTTAATCCATGGTTTAACGGGTAAAATCACCCTTTTCAGCGAGTCATCTTGTAGCTCTGTTCTACAACCTCGTCTCCACACAGCGTGGATTCTCCTTTGCATGTTCCAAGTTTTCGTTGGTTTGGGGATTGAGGGAAGCATTGCAGCTGGAGTTTATGACTCTGACCCGAGTTATGGTGCTGAGAGAAGCCTCTTAAGCAGGGTGTTTTTTCTGTTGGGAATGCACGAGACAACTCAAGTTTGGACTAGAATGGTGGTGAGGCCCGTGGTGGATAACACTCTGTTCGGCGTTGAAAGAAAAGAAAGATGGTTTGAGAGGGTGGCCATGGCTGCAAGCTTAGGCACCTTATGGTGGTGGAGGTTGAGAGAGGAAGTGGAGACCTTAGTGGTTGTGGCTGAAGCAAAGAAAGAGCAATTAATGGATGTTGGAATTGGTGACTTTGTTGGATGGTGGTTGTATTATCTAACTGTCACAATTGGTATGGTAAGGATTGTGAAAGGTCTCATGTGGATGTTCATGATTTCTCTATGTAGAAGAAGGGTGACAGGGATTTCCCATGTGGAATCAAGTCAGAACGATGACAAGGTGTGAATTTGGACCAATTCTGTAATTTCTCTCTCTCTTTTTGTCATTCTATTCTCTGATCAAGAGACGTTACAATATTGTATACCTTTTAAAAATTGGAAGCACCCAATCTTGTATTGATAGCATAATATTGCTCAACGTGTTCATAATTACTTCTTTAATATGTCTAACATGGTTCTTTAATTCCAACATGTTTTCTTGGATGATTTTATTAATGTGATGGCATGACTGACGACAAAGCAATGTGAAATGTAAAGTGCAAAGGAGAAACTGTAGAAATACAAACCCGGCCGGTCCCTGATAGTGTCAATGCTGTAATTAATGAAACATGTTTGCACCACGTTTCATTAATAGAAACATGTTGTAATTAATTACAACTGTAGAAACATGTTGTAATTAATGAATGCTAGACTCAAACAAAAGTGAAATGGAGAAGTTTGCAACATTATGCAACAAAAGTAAAATAGTGTGATTTAGTTTACCCACAAATTAATAGAAAAAAATTAAATATGAAGTAATTTGTAAAAATAGCCATCTCAGCTAGGAAGAAGTGCGGTGTAAGAGAAGGAAAAAAAAAAAAACGTACCGTTTGCTGGAGTTGATTGATCAACAAATTGGCAGGTGAGAGAAAGAATGACTCTTGGCAAAAAAAAAAGGAGTTTATGAAACTCTGGTGTGTGAAACTAATATAATTAACAAATGGAGATGAAGTAATATAAAGTTATAATGAATTTGGGCACACTTGGCTAAAGGTTTGGTCCATATTCTTCAAGGGTGAGGGTTCAACCCCGCTGGCTGATGTGAGGACTTTGTTGGTGGGTGATATATAATCCCTCTCAAAAATCATTAAAGAGGTTGGAGGGTCTTCCATGACTTTAGTGGGACTCTAGTAAAATACCGGTGTCTAATCCCACTTAAACTTTTTGTTATCCAAAAAAAAAGTATTAGAAAGAAAGATAGAATTCGCATTGGTTGAGAAAAGTGAAATTATGCCGGTAAAAGCAAGGATGTCAAAAAAAGTACATGTCAATGAGTTAACTCAAATAATTCAAAAAAAATAAAAATGTCAGTTAAGTTAATAAAATCAAAACAAATTGTTTTTAATCAACTTGGACGAGCTTGATTTAGCCCAATCCTTCACAAGCTAGCTTGCGATTGACAGGGACCAACAAGCTTAAAAATATCATAATCAATGTATAATATTTTAAAATTTACTTAAATGTCAATGTAAACCAACTAACGTCCTGAATAGTCTGTAACTTGCATAGAATTGGACTCAACCAGAAACTTACTAATTCGGATTATATTTAACTCATTGCGGGCTAATCCACATTTGACATAACTTGCACTGAGCTAATGCCTGATATTAACAACTCTATATGCTGATGTGGCTACCATAGATAGCTACAAAGGACTTCAAAGTTCGATTTCTGCTTTTGTATATTATAAAATAAATAATTGTCGAACTAATAATTGACACCCTTAAATGAAACTAGTTAATGTGACTACGATAGATAATGACTCGAGTAGCTTCCAAGGATGGTTTTGGTTTTTATATGTTATAAAATAGTTAATTGTGTACAATACTATGATCATAGAGTTACATTAATACTTTCTTTCATAATTATGTTTAGCTAAAGAAATCGAAGGGGTAAATAAAAAACTCTATTCCACCAATTGCTGTCCAACAAGTTTTGTGAAATTGGGTTATGAATCCACTTCTGGGTTAGATTAATCGCCATTACACTTACAGTAGATGTTGGAAATCGTAGCTTAGCACCTTAGTCAGAGTCTGATGAGACGGTGTGTTTCTTGCCTACCGGGGCCCCAGATCACCCAACTTAGGGTTGGAAGATATATATAAAGTGGCAGATTATATTTACAAACTACACTAAGTACGACCGGTCATATTTTAATCATGCAGTGTACGACCGGTCGTACTTAGTGTAATTTGCAAAAAAAGTTTGTAAACGGATCATATCCCATATATAAATACATCCTAAGGATTATGAATAAGAAGTGGGTTAAGGAAGAAAAGAAAAGAGGAAAGTTGAAGGGGTGTGTAGATTTTAAGAAATTCCACATTGAACAACTAATAAGAGGTCAGACAGTATATAAGCTCTCACCTCGGCTTTTTGACCATTGTAGCCTTTAACTAATAAAAAATTACCATCTTGCCCTTGTTTATAAATTATTTCAAAAAATTTACCGGTTACACATATCCTTATTTACCCTGGTACACATCCAGTTACCTCAGTTACCCGGTGTGTGGATTTTAAGAAATTTCACATTGAACAACTAATAAGAGGTGAGACGGTATATAAGCTCTCACCTCGGCTTTGTGACCATTGTAGCCTTTAACTAATAAAAAATTACCATATTGCCCTTGTTTATAAACTATTTCAAAAATTTAACCGGTTACATATATCCTTATTTACCCTGGTACACACCCAGTTACCTCAGTTATCCGGGTAGAAAATTATTTACCCGGTTATCCTGGTACATATCCTTATTACTCTGGTACACACCCAGTTACCTGATACATATCCTTAATTTCCAAGCCCAACCATGAATCCAACTCAAAAGACAAACAAAAAACTGGTACACACCCGGTTACTTGATACATATCCTTATTTTCCAAGCCCAATCGTGAATCCAACTCAAAAGACAAACAAAAAACTATAAAGTAATAATAAGAATTTGGTAGAACCAAAAGACAAAAAACATGTAAAACATATATAAATGTACAATCCAATGGCCATCTCACATAACCAAATTACAAAAAAAGTCGTGTTAATTAACCCCATCATTTTGAAAATTTCAAAAATTATATTTTATATTTTAACCGGTTACACATATCCTTATTTATCCTGGTACACACTCAGGTACCTTAGTTACCTGGGTAGAAAATTATTTACTCGGTTACCCTGGTACATATCGTTATTTACCCTGGTACACACCTGGTTACCTTATACATATCCTTATTTTCCAAGCCCAATCGTGAATCCAACTCAAAAGAGAAACAAAAAACCGGTACACACCCGGTTACCTGATACATATCCTTATTTTCCAAGCCCAACCGTGAATCCAACTCAAAAAACAAACAAAAACTATAAAGTAAGAATAGGAATTTGGTAGAACCAAAAGACAAAAAACATGTAAAACATACATGAATGTACAATCCAATGGCCATCTCACATAACCAAATTACAAAAAAAGCCGTGTTAACCCCATCATTTTGAAAATTTCAAAAATTATATTTTATATTTTAACCAGTTAATATTAAAGCTTTTAATTTTTATAAAAATTTCGTCTTACTTCATATTAATTTTAAAATATATTCATAATTTCACTCTTATTCACAAAAAATTATGGATATGCAATGGTGCCTTTAAGCCTTATAGACGAAGAACTCAATGTGCATACCTCACTAACACTCGCTGTAGCTAAATGGAATGTTTTCTTCACAAATTTTCTATACAAATTACAAACACATTTAACCACGTTTTCTTTATGATGGATTTGAGTTGGATTCACGGTTGGGCTTGAAAAATAAGGATATGTATCAGAATAACTGGGTGTGTACCTGTTAGTACATAGGTGTCCTAGAGACAATCTGAGAGTCAGATGGATCCATGTACTTCTTTATTTGTTATGAATAAATTTTATGAATAAAAGCATTATTTATCTTGTTTCATATTGCATGTCTCAAACATTGAATATGAGTAACTGGATAAAGCCCTTGGAATGGAACATGTGTCACACTGAGGATTTGTAATAGGGATCACGATCATGAGGGCTTAATGACACCACATGTCCATTGCCAGAAATATGTTCCTAGTCTAGAGATACCGATAATGGGCATTGGTGATCTCGGGTAAGACTAGCACGACTCAACTACTTGCATGGAGATGCAAGGTAGAGTCCTCGTGCCACAAACATGGAGATGTCTTAGCTGACTCGTGGGTGGACCTATTAGAGAATAGCTCGCACTCAACTGACCCACAAAGAGACACTACAAGGAAATCTCACAGATAGTATCAATAGGTAATCTCTCTTATTATTTGGGTGTGTATTTCCTTAGACTTGACGTTGTCATATAGACATGTGCTCTGGAAGGTTTGTTTTGATTGTATACCTTGTCTTCCTGAAACATGGAGACTCATAGGCATACTCTTGTACATGCCCTAAGGACTCAGGACTAGTGTGACAAGCTAAAGGAATTCGTCAATCTCTGTGAGAGATTAGGTTATCCGTAGACCGATGAAACCGGGATGACATTTACGGGACTCAGGAATCTATGCATAGTAAAGGAATCATGAGATGGCCCGCTCTTTAGAGTCCGTAAATGAAGATTCCATGTGTTGTAAATAATATTGATTTAGTTATTATTTAGTCATTTATTGTTGTATTGGGTCAATCTCTTTGTTGTATTGGGCCAAGCCCATTAGGTTAAAAGTAGGTCAAATATTCTCTATAAATAGAGAACCCTTTGTACAGATTATTTACAATTCTATAATATATTAGAATACCCTTTTTCAAGTTGGTATCAGAGCTCTTGATCTGAGGGCTTTGCTTCCGCATATATTATCTTCTTTTTTAACAAAACCCTAATTTCTTTGCCTCTTGCCGCCATTAGCCGCCACCGGAAATTTTTTTCGGGGACCTTTTGGACCAAGGGGACCATTGTTGACCTTATTTTTCCTCCGATCTATCATTCTACACAGTGTTCCTCTGCCACAAACGACCGAAACACCTCTGATCGCCTCAAATCAGATCTGTCTTCACCGTTTGGACCACTTTCCGGCGACTTTTCAACCGCGACCGCCCACAGACAGGTGCGCGCTCACCGGACGACCACACCAGAAAAATCTCAGCCGGCGAAGCCCATCCACGCGCTCTCACGCGCCGCCCGTTTCCCGGCGAGTGAATCCCCCGCGCAGCTCCTTTCTCCGGCGCGTGCGGCTGTGTTTTTGGACCGGACCACCACCATTCTTCTCGTCTTC